TCTAATCACCATCAGCTGCCATGTTGTATTTTCCTGGATCTTATAAAGGGTCTCAAATCTCTCCCCTTTCAAAGGTGATTCTGGCTTTGAGAAAAGCCAGAAGTCACAGGGTGCCAAATCTGGACTGTAGTGGGGCTGAGTCACCTGGGTGATTTGATGTTTCACCAAAAAACTCTACAAAAGATGTGACGCATGAGCACGTGTGTTATCCTGATGAAGCTGCCAATTACCAGTTGCCCATAGCTGGGGACCTCTGAATCACCTAAATAGTTTCCACGGAGGGATATTCAAGCTTAACACAAAATTTGATGCAGATGCTTTGCTCTACTTGCTCAGTCCTTTTGAATGTGACTTCCAAACAGTACACATGCTCACCCAACATTGTCTAATGCCCCCACTGACTAGTACAGTGAATTTAACATTGATCGCACATGCACATTCCAGGCCACTGTCCTTGGTTGCCAGGTTACATCGATGTCATGCAAACCATTCTCGTTATATTAACAATGGCTGGACTTTTTCCGTACCAACCACATATTTATATGTTTATTTATACATAAATTTTTATATGAATATATAAAGCACTTAAAATTATAAAAGAATTTAATATTTTATTCAGATAAAATATATATTTCCTTATAGTTAAGAAATCAGTGGCTTTACAAAAGAGAATTAAAAGATTTATTTTCTCATCTCACAGATGTTTCATTGGGAAAAGTTGAAACCATTATATATTGGATTTCTCTGGCTCATGAGTAGGAAATATCTACTCTAAAGGAAGTGGGCTAAACTCTAAATGAAAAGCAATATGAAGAAAGTAATTTTCCCCTTGGCTTTATAGATGTTAATAATTTGCCTTATTATGTCTTATTCAATAGAATGTTTTCAATTACTATAATAATGCTAGTTAATTGTAGCAACAATCTGAGACCAATCATTCAGTCTAAACAAAAAGGACTTAAATACCGCAAATGTAGATGTGATGAATTAGTATTTCATCAACAGAACTGTACTTCTGCCTGAAAATGTAATTTCTAGATATGGCTGGACTAATTGTGTTACTTAAATTCATCTGGATCAAGTAAGGATGGGAGTTCTTTTAGGTGAACTTGGAGATACACACATGTGATACAGAAACACTTAAGTATTGAATAACTATTTTGAATGGCCCGTTTTTTCTTAGAATAGCTGGGCTGATGTTTGTATTGTAGCACAGAAGCAACAATGGAAATGCTGCTGTACTTAGCACAGACTGAAGTAGGGACAGTGGGCACTGTGTCCTTCATGAATACATACTCCCAGTCAAAACAATGTCAGCTTCACATAAAAGTGTGCTTGACAAAACAGTATAAAATGTTAGTTCTATTAAGTTTTATCCTTGAGAATACTTTTTATTAAAAAATTCTGTGTGGTAAAACAGTGTACATAGAACTGTTACATAACAAAAAAGGAAGGATGTTGTCTGAAGGGAAAGCACCTGTGCAACTGTTTGAGCTGCGAGAACAACTAGCCACTTTTTAAATGGAGACTTAAAAGAATGATTGGCAGGCAAATGTAGGTATTCAGACTTGAGTATTTGACTCATATTTGCTCAAAAATTAATGAAGTGACCCTAGTACTTCAAGTACAACAATGGGCAGTATTTGAAACCAATAATAAATTTGAGTTCTTAAGTAGAAAGAATCTTAAAAAATTTGTTTTCGCCAAGATGAGCTTAACAGCTTCCCAATACTTAAATACGACGCTACTGATGAAGTTGGTGGTAAATTAATTAATGTTAGTTTTGTTACTATAAAATAAAGTACTATGTCAATGTTTGAAAGATCTACATAAGAAAAAATCAGTATTTTCCAAAAGAACCATGAAAAGGGCTACAAAGTCCTGCTTGGACAAAAGACCCATTAAAAGTGCAAGATACACCAGTAGGTTTTAATGTATCAGTATGAAAAGCTCATTAATGTAATTTCATATTCTACATCACAACTAACTTTTAAAAAAACACGGTTTTCAAAATTTGGTGAGGTATGCAAAAAGAATATCCACAATTATCTGAGATGGCTATTGAAAATAGTCCTGCCTTTTCCACGTACATATCTGTGTAAGGCTAGATTTTCTTCATATACTTCCTCCAAGACGACATATCACACCAGACTGAATACAGAAACATGTATGAGAACTGGCTATCTTCTTTTAAGTCAGACAATAAAACAGATTTACAAAAACTGTAAAAAAAAAATCCATCACTCTTGTTAAACAATCTTTTGCTTGGAAAAATTCATAGTTTTCCAATATGCTATTTCCAACAAAAATATGCTATTATTTTTAAAAGAAGTAAAATATTTTTATTTCTTTGTTGGAAATTTTTTATTACTCCTTCAATTCATTAGTTATCAGTCTATTCAGGTTGTATGATTCTTCCTGATTCAGTTTTGGAAGATTGTATATTTCTATGAATTTATCTGTTTCACTCACGTTGTCCAATTCCTTGATATATAATTCAAGTATTTCATACAATGTTCATAGTATTTCCTTACAATCCCTGTATTTTTTGAAGATGAAAAAAATTTTTTAATTTTATTGATTATGCCATTACAGTTGTTCTATTTTCCCCCTTCATTCCCCTCCACTCTGCACACCCCCTCCCCCACCATTCCCCCCTTTAGTTTATGACCACGTGTCTCAAGTTCTTTAAATTCTATATTTCCCACACTATTCTTGCCCTCCCCCCTATCTATTTTCTACCTACCATCTATGCTTCTTATTTTCTGTACCTTCTCCCCCACTTCTTCTCCCACTCCCCTGTTGCTAACTCTCCATGTGATCTTCATTTCTATGGTTCCACTCCTGATCTAGCTGTCCTCTTAGTTTGCTTTTGTTTTAGGTGTGGTTATTAATAACTGAGTTTGCTGTCCTTTCACTGTTCATATTTTTTATCTTCTTTTTCTTAGGTAAGTCCCTTTAACATTTCATATAATAAGGGCTTGGTGATGATGAACTCCTTGAATTTGATCTTATCTGAGAAGCACTTTATCTGTCCTTCCATTCTAAGTGAAAGTTTTGCTGGATAGATCAATCTTGGATGTAGGTCTTTGGATTTCATGACTTGGAATACTTCTTTCCATCCCCTTCTTGTCTGTAAGGTCTCTTTTAAGAAATCTGCTGACAGTCTGATGGGAACTCCTTTGTAGGTGACTGTCCCCTTATCTCTTGCTGCTTCTAGGATTCTCTCCTTCATTTGAATCTGGGCTAAATGTGCCTTGGTGTGTTCCTTCTTGGGTCCAACTTCTTTGGGACTCTCTGAGCTTCCTGGACTTCCTGGAAGCCTATTTCCTTTGCCAGATTGGGGAAATTCTCCTTTATTATTTGTTCAAATAAGCTTTCCACTGGTGGCTGTTCCTCTTCCCCTTCTGGTACCCCTATAATTTGGATGTTGGAGCATTTAAAGATATCCTGGGGGTTCGTAAGTCTCTCCTCATTTTTCTGAATTCTTGTTTCTTCATATTTTTGTTTGGTCATTTTTTTCTTCTTTCTGGTCCAGTCCCTTGATTTGAGTCCCAGTTTCCTTTCCATCATTTCTTTCCTGTGTATTTCCCTTCATTTCAATTAGTTTAGCCTTCATATGTTCCTCTAATTTGTGACTGAAATCGACCAGTTCTGTGAGCATCCTGATCACGAGTGTTTTGAACTAGGCATCTGAAAGCTTGGCTATTTCTTGGTCACTTAGAGTTATGGGCTCTGGGACTTTGAGTTCTTCTCAAGCCATGTTTGGCCTTTCGCGCCCATTATGTATGAGGAGTGGAGCCTTAGATGTTCACCGGGGGTGGGGCAACTCAGTCTCTGGGTTGTGACACTGTATGTTGTGGCGGGGTTAAAGAGGGGCAATAGCAGTCCCCTCGGCTGCTTCCCACCACTGGGGCCTGCGCAGTCTGTCTCACTGCTCACTCCTTTGCTGTTTTATCTGCACTTGAATGTGTGACTGTGGTCAGCCTGCCGCCTTGCATCCTCACTGGGTCTGCCCGTCACAGCCTCACACTTGGAATCCGCCAACTGCTGACCGCGCTCCTGGGTTGGTCTGGCTGAGTTTTCCTGTGCAACCCTGCTTCGCCAACCGCTGGCTCTGCCACTCTTACCGGTCTAGCTGAAGGATTCCTTGTCAGACTTCGGTATAGTTCAATTTTCTGTGTTATAGCTGCGTTTTTGTTGTACTAAAACTTTGTTGTTTTAAACTTGGTTGTGTGAGAAGGCACAGTGTTTCCACCTACGCCTCCATCTTGGCAGAAGTCTCAATCCCTGTATTTCTGTGATATCTTGTGCCCATCAGTAGATAAGTGGATAAAAAAAGCTGTGATACATTTATACAATGGAATACTACACAGCAGTAAAAAGGAAATCTTAGCTTTCGTGACAGCATGCATGCATCTAAAGAAAATTATTCTAACTGAAATTAAGCCAGGGAGTGAAAGAGAAATACCACATGATCTCAATTATACGTGGACTCTAAGGAACAAAATAAACTAACGAACAAAATAGAAACGGGAGTGCAGTTACATGGAACAGACTGACAGCTGCAGGAGGGGAGGGAGCAGAGAACTGGATGAGAGAAGGCGAAGGGATCAGTTAAAGAACATATGTCCATGACTCATGAGCACGGACAATGATGAGGGGATTGATGAGGGGACTGCCTAGAGGAGGCAAGAGGGGATCGACGGAAGTGGGCAGAGGGAAAAATGGTGGGGACAACCCTGGTAGCATAAACAATAAAATACAATAAAAATAAAGTAAAATATTTCTAAAACTTATGTTTTAACATCAAATATGATAAATATTGACAGACATTACAACCACATGTTTAAAAAGCTCATTGGGATCCTCAATAATTTTTAAGAGCATAAAGTGGGTAATGAGATGAAAACATCTGAAAACTGAATTTCCAACATACTGAAATTTTCTAAGAAAAGGAAAAACAAAGTTGGATGATAGGATAAGTGGATATCACTTACAGCAAAAAGGCCTCATTCACAGCATCAAAGAACTCAGGCCAGAGCATTTCCTGAGGTTCATTTCCATGGTAGGTGATCAAGGCTTCCACCAGTGGTTCGAAATCTGGCAGAGTAACAAGTGGGACACAAACTCGTGATAGGGACCTTACTCGTTCAGGAGCAATTCTATAGAATAAAACAAGAAATAATTTTCCAATATTAGAGCTATATGTAACAAAAGGCATAAAATCTTCATGCTGAAAAGGCTGATGACAAGTCATTTGCTCTGCTCCTCACATAATGAGGACTATCTTAATACCATCTATGAACACTCTTCTTTTACTCAATTCTCCGGAAAGAAAGCCTTTAACAGGAGTTCCCATTTTAACATCCTTCATTTTCAGGACTTTTGTGTAACTCACTACGGGCATCTCCAACTTGTATTGTATAGACCACTGAGTCAGCTCTGACTCCTGGCAACCCTATGACTGAGTAATGTCCACAATGTCTTGTCCTCATATGTGCTTAATATGATTTCCTTAAACAACTGGCAATCACTACCTGTCAGCTTGTATTTAAGAATAAGGTACTCAAAAGCTAGTAGGAGTTCTATGTGCATGGGTGGTGAGAGTTGACTGTGATCTTCACTACAAGGCAGCAATTTTTAGACTTGGTTTTTGGTTTCAGAACATTGTTAAACTCTTAAAAATTACTAAAACCACCAAAAATCTTTTTTTCTAAGATTATATCAATTGATACTTATCATGTTTGAAGTTAAAACAGAGACACCAAAAAATATTTAAAAGGCAAAGATTTATTCAATCTGAAGAGAAACCAAAGTATATTAAAAATATTTAAATCATTAAAAATAGCAATAAACCCATTCGACACTAAAATGAAGTAAATTTTTTTGATGAATGATAATTATATTTTACAAAACAAAAAAGTATTAAGTGAGAAGAGTGAGGTTCTTTTTACCTGTTTGTATATCTCTTTACTATGTGCCCTGCATTTACTTCCGAATTTACTGTTGAATATGTTGTTTTATTTGAAAGTACATAAAAGGAGTCTAGCCCAACACCAATAGGTAGTTCATTTTTAACATATATTTTATTGATTATACTATTACAGTTGTCCCCATTTTCCCCCTTTGCATCTCTCTGCCAAATATCCCTTTCCATCTAGCAATCCCCCTACTTAGTTCATGTCCATGGGTCACGCGTATAAATCCTTTGGCTTCTCCATTTCCTATACTATTCTTAACCTCCCCCTTTCTATTTTCTACCTACCAGTTATGCTTTTTATTCTCTGCACCTTTCTCCCCACTCTCCCCCTTCCCCCTCCCAGTTGATAACTGTCCAAATGATATCAGTTTCTATGCTTCTGTTCCTGTTCTGCTTGTTTGCTTAGTTTTTTGTTTTTAGATTCATTTTGATAGTTGTGAATTTGTTCCCATTTTAATGTTCATAGTTTTGACCTTCTTTTTTTAAAATAAGTCCCTTTAACATTTCATGTACAATGGCCTGGTGACGATAACTCCTTTAGCTTTACCTTGTCTGGGAAGCACTTTACCTGCCCTTCAATTCTCAATGAGCAGAATAACCTTGGTTGTAGGTCTTTGCTTTTCATCACTTTAAATATATCTTGCCAGTCTCTTCTTGCCTGCAAAGTTTCTTTTGAGAAATCAGCCGACAATCTTCTGGGAACTCCTTTGTAGGTAACTACCTGCTTTTCTCTACCTGTTTGTAAGATTTTCTCTTTAACTTTAACCTTAGGCATTTTAATTATGATGTGGCTTGGAGTGGGCCTCTTTGGGTCCAACTCGCAGGGAATGCTCTGTGCTTCCTGGACTTGTATGTCTATTTTCTTTGCCAAATTAGTGAAGTTTTCTTCCATTATTTTTCAAGTAAGTTTCCCACTTTCTTGTTCTTCCCCTTTGGGCATCCCTATGATTTGGATGTTAGTATGTTTGGAGATGTCTCCCACAGGCTTCTTATACAATTGTAGTTTTTTAAAATTTTTGTTTCTTCTTGCTCTTGTGGTTGAATGCTTATTTCTTCCTTATGTTTGAAATCACTGATTTGAATTCCAAGTTTCTCCCCTTCACTGTTGTTTCTTATAGATTTTTCTTTATTTAACTTAGAGTAACTTCCCTTTCTTCCTTTATGTTTTTGCTGTACTCAAAGAGTTTCAGCATCCTGACCACCAGTGTTTTGAACTCTTCATCTTATATGTTGGCTATCTCCATTTTCTTAATTCTTTTTCTGGGGTATTGTTCTGTTCTTTCATTAGGGCCATATTTTTTTGTCTCCTCAATTTAGCAGACCTCCTGTGTTTGTTCCTGTTTATTAACCAGAGCTGCTTTGACTTCATCTTAGTAGCACAGCCTTCTGTAGAAAAGGCACCTATAAATTGTGTGGGGTGGAGCCTCTGCCAGGGTGGGGCAACCTGCTTTACTGATTTGTGGCTATGTGGCAAAGGGGCTTGGAGAGGCAATAGTGATGCTGCCTGGCTTCTGGACTTTTTCCCAGCACTGGCCCTGTCTCCAGTCACTTCACCCACTCTCCATATGTGACTGGCACCCTTCCAGCTGTTTCCCTGGAAACAGCTGGGTGTTGAATCCCAGAGGGGATGGGTTTGTGTAAGTTCTAAGATCATAAGGACCCTTTAGGCAGTCTCCTAAAACTCTGGCAGTTTCTTCCACCGCCCCAAACTCCACTGGTATTTATAACCTGAAGTTATGGGGATTTATTTTCCCAGTGCGGGAATCCTGGGCTATGTGGTCTTGCCTAGGGATATAATTGCTTGCTCCCAAGGTATCCCTCCTAATTTTTATCCACTACCTGTGAATGCGGGACCTCCTGCTCCAGTGCTGCGTCTCCGTGCCACCTTGGGTCTCTTCACCTCTCCACCCATCTCTGTTTCTCCCTCCTCCTAGCCATCTGGTAGAATGTGGCTTCTTTAAATCCTTGGTTGTCTGACTTCCATACAGTTCCATTTTCTGACAGTTCTGGGTGTTACTTGTTTTGAGGTTTAGTTTTAATTCTCTCTGTAACCACAGAGGTGTGAGGAGGTGAAGTGTATTTACCTACACCTCCATCTTGACTGGAAGTCTCCCGTTATGTAGTTTAAAATGGCAGGAATATTTTAATAGTTTCTTCATATAATTTTGCATATTTCCCCTTGGCTTCTACACCAACACTCCTCAATACTGCCCAGCCTGGTTCCTGTGAACCTAACAATGCAGGTACAGCTGCATGTCATGGGTCTAGGAGATTAGGACCTACCTTGATTACAGCTGAAATTACCACAATTTAATGGCCAACTCTTCCCCTGAAAGATGCAAATCTTCAAATAGTTACAGAATTCTACAATAGTTACACTAGACAGATTCTGTCAGTAGAGTTTTTGTCAAAGTGAAGTGGTACTTCCTACTCCATCTTCACTGACATCCCTTTTGATTTCTTGTACAAAAATGGAAAAAAAACATTTCTTACTTTCTATTTCTTTGTCATTTTGTACTATATATACCCTAAGAAAACTATTTGTCTCAATCTTTGAAGTCGTTATTTGCTATTCAGCGTCTCTCCTAGTCAAGCCTATTTACTGAATTTTCTTCTCCTGTAACCCCTGTCTTAAAAAAAAAGAAAAAGCATTACTATCTCAAGGATTTGATGTTTTCTCTTATTATTTTTAGAACAATTTACTATTCCTTTACAAAAATCCAATTTTTTATCCTAGGGAGTCCATTTCATTGTATTTGCATCTTCTGTTTGTTACATTTGGATCACTTCTCCTTACAGAGTTGGTTTTCCATGACTTGTTTCATCTATTTGCTCTTTGTGGAATTTGGGATTCCATGTTAGCCTCTCTGTGAATGCTCTGTTCAATGGAATCTGTCTCCAGTACCGGGGTGAGGCTCAAGAAGTAGCGCTGGGTAGAGTTGTCAATAAATTGCATTCTGAGCATAAGAGTACCCCCTGCAAACATCTGGGAATTGATAGCCATTTTGGTGCTTGCTCCTCTAAAGGGCCCTCCCTCCTTCTCCTTGGAAACAGAACATCTCTGTTGTCTCTTGTATGGGGACAGTGGACAAGGAGAAAAAGTGTATGAAAACCTACCAAGACAGCTGCAATTACTGTAGTCCAATAACCCATCATCTTGCTGGCCACCAGGTACCCTCCTACTCATTTAATTCACCCCCAGGGTAACTTTTATACTTTGCACTAGTCATCTTTTGCAAGTTTTTTGGACTGTGATTTTTTTTAAAGGAATTTTTTTTTATTGATTATGCCATTACATTTGCTCTATTCCCCCCTCCCTTCCCCTCCACCCTGCATTCCCCTCCCCCACCATTTCCCCCTTTAGTTCATGAACATGTGTCTCAAATTCTTTAGATTCTGTATTTCCCCTACTATTCTTACCCTCCCCCCTATCTATTTTCTATCTACTGTCTATACTACTTATTTTCTGTACCTTCTCCCCCCTTCCCCTCCTCCCACTCCCCTGTTGCTAACCCTCCCTGTGATCTTCATTTCTATGGTTCTGCTCCTGATCTAGCTATCCTCTTAGTTTGCTTTTGTTTTAGGTGTGGTTATTAATAACTGTGAGTTTGCTGTCCTTTCACTGTTCATCTTTTTTATCTTCTTTTTCTTAGGTAAGTCCCTTTAACATTTCATATAGTAAGGGCTTGGTGATGATGAACTCCTTGAATTTGGTCTTATCTGAGAAGCACTTTATCTGTCCTTCCATTCTAAATGAAAGTTTTGCTGGGTAGAGCAATCTTGGTTGTAGATCTTTGGTTTTCATGACTTGGAATACCTCTGTCCAGCCCCTTCTTGCCTGTAAGGTCTCTTTTGAGAAATCAGCTGACAGTCTGATGGGAACTCCTTTGTAGGTGACTGTCCCCTTAGCTCTTGCTGCTTCTAGGATTCTCTCCTTCATTTTAATCTTGGCTAATGTAATTATGATGTGCCTTGGTGTGTTCCTTCTTGGGTCCAACTTCTTTGGGACTCTCTGAGCTTCCTGGATTTCTCGGAAGTCTATTTCCTTTGCCATCTTGGGGAAATTCTCCTTTATTATTTGTTCAAATAATTTTTCAACTGGTGGTTGTGCCTTTCCCCCCTTCTGGTACCCCTATAATTCGGATGTTGGAACGTTTAAAGATGTCCTGGAGGTTTCTAAGC